TTGAAAATCAATCGAAGTTTTAACTTATTTTATCTCTGGATTAAATCATACCAAAAAAATTAAACCCGTGATTTTCTAATTAACAGATTTTTAAAAAATTCCAAACATACCACTTTACCTGAGATAGGTTAGTTGTCTTCATCTCTGTAAGCAAGTCAAAGCCATGTCTCACTGTCACTGCAGGCTGGCCTGCCAACAAGCCAACCCTCATGATGGAGAGTCGGATCCGGGTCAACCAGTCTTGACAAGTTTGGCGATTGGTATAGAAAAAAGTCCTAATGACCTTTAGAAGAAGGGGAAAGAAGAGCTCAGGATTGGTTCAAATTATACATATTGATGTCTCAAACACATATAAACCAAATACACAAATCTACTATGATTTCACCTCTACACATACTGCCCGGTTTGATCATGAAACTGCTACAAGGCAACACTATCCCATTGAAACCAACCTTGGGAGGCGATGTTAATGCATTAGCACATCCCTCATATGCATTATACATTAATTTCTCTAGATTTTCCAGATATTGCAGAAGAAGAACAAGTCTAAGTTGGTTGCTGCCGTGGCCTTCATCATTGTCTGCAGTTGTCCACTGACTAACATCTTGATCAGGGTTTAATGTGTGAGCTGCAAGACTTCGAATGATACCTGAAAGCAAAGACAACATGTTAAAGATTTTTTAAAAAATCTTTAAAGATTCTAGAATAAATGTGAATTTATTTCACAAATTCACATTTATTAAGCATCCTTTCTCTATCCATCATTTAAAAATAAAAAATCCCAACACGAAGGATCTTTCAATTTAGGGAAAGAAGTGTTTTCTCCACACAAATCTCCTATTTTTGAACAAAAACAACCAACTATATTACCAATGCCACTATTTAATGAAAGTTTATTCTAACCCTCAATTTTCAGAAATTACTGATTTTGTATTTTATATCATTCTCAAATCTTTGTTTTAACACAGATATGAAAGCCATTATTTCTTAATAGGGCTTTGAAAGTATTTACATCACAAAGTTTGAAAAAGCACAAAGAGTCATTTACCTTCAATTGTCTGGAAGGTGTCTTGAGCTCTGCCCAGTGGGGTTCTCAACTTAGAAAGGACAGTAAATTGTGCTGCTTCCCAAATAGCCCACTGCCAGAGGACAGCATCTGTCTTTAGGAGATTGCGGGGAATTGTTGATTGGTCACGCTTATCCAATCTCTGGCAGCTATAGAACAATCTTTCTAACCAGTTGTCCTTCCTGGGAAAAGTAGTTTCATATTTATTAGAAAATGACAACTTCTTTTAATTTAAAAAAAAAAAAAATACTGCAAGGGGAATGGGAGAAAGGGACTATAATTTTTCCTACTCCAAAAAGGCAAAACCTATGAAATTGAGAAATATTATAGCCAAACTCTGATTTTGGAGTCTTTTACAGTTAAAGTAGAATGAGGTATGGTATGGATGGGACATTAGGGTAAACAGCTCATGACAATTTAGCCATCCGGATAAAACTCATTCAACGCAACTAAGCATCTCTACGATATCTATGCCCCAAACCCCTGCCCAAAGTGTTAAAGACATCAGATTGCTTAACTGTCAACCATATTTCATTATGCAATTTCAAAGCCCATTTTTTGGTTCTACAGCTGCTATCTTCAAAGCAATTTTCCTAAGGAAGAAAATGAAAATAACCCATTTGAGAAGAATGTTACTTTCTACTCCACCATTCGGGACATAATTTCTCCTCAAAACTGGGTGTAAGGTTAAGATACCCTTAAAATTAGTTTTCCCAGATGAAACAGTCAAAGAAATGCCTTACCCTGTTCTGTGAGAGTTCCCATACAAAATAAAACTAATAACATCAGAGAAATCTTGTGGGTGGAATGTGTTACTTGGCGCTTTACTCATGTGACTTCTTAATGCTAAAGAAATTTCTTGAATTTCTGTGTGATTATTATTGCTGTAGACAGAAAATAAAGTCACTGTTATGCAAAATGTTAAAAGGTTATCACATACTATACATGGGTTATTTCCTTGTTAACTGGAAGCAAAAATATACTAAAATTGAGAATTTAAAATGGATACAGACATGGTATTACAACTTCATAATGCCAGGCTCTTAAAGCTCCGAAATCAACTTAATGAAAACAGTAAGAGATTACAGTTTAGTTTTTCAAATATGTGAACTATTAAGAAACACATTTTGGCACTATATGAATTAATTTATAATATTATGAGTTTACAAGGCTCATTCAAAAAATTTTTGTTGTTGTTATTTTCTTCTAGATCTGCAAAATTTGATCCTTTGACATCTCTTCAATCACTGAAAAGAAGCGTCATACAAGATATGACATCAAGGCTGGGCGCGGTGGCTCACGCCTGTAATCCTAGCACTCTGGGAGGCCGAGGCAGGTGGATCGCTTAAGGTCAGGAGTCCGAGACCAGCCTGAGCAAAAGCGAGACCCCGTCTCTACCAAAAATAGAAAGAAATTATCTGGACAGCTAAAAATATATA